TGTTTGGTGTTTTCATGGAAATTTTATTACACAGGCATGACTGAGTGAATCATTGGCCTTTGGTGATGTTAAGAAACAAAATTCAACCAAGCAAATATGAAGATCAAATTGGCTTTATTAAATGACTCATGAATCAGGCAGCATCCCCTCTAGCAAGCAGAGTTACTCCAACATGATACAAAAAGATTTTTTAAAGACAAAGAGAGTAGAAACAGACAAACCAACAACAAAAAACTACTAAATAAACAAAAACAAAACAAACAAAAACTCAGAAAAAGAAATGTAGCTCTGGGATGAGTGGGTTCCCTGCCCAGGGCAATTCTCTACGAATCTGACAAGACTGAAGGAAAACAAGGGTGAGAGGCTAGGAATGAAAGGGTTTATTCTCCTGGCTTAGTCTCTCCTCGCTCCAAACCCCAGTGCTCTGCTCTCTCTCTTCCCAGTGCATGCTCACCATGTTACTGTGGTCAGGGTGGAGCTCTTTGGGCAGGTCCCCAGTGACTGGCGGACCCCTGACTGATTACATACCAGGAACTGAGGGGAGGAGGGGGACCAGGCATGTCCTCTCCACCCCCACCCTGGACCAGCAATCCCGTGAGTGACCAGCAGCTCTGCTGCGAGGAAACATTCCATAAATGTGCAAATTTAAGGCCAGGCAGGAATCCTGGTCAGAAAGTTCCATTTTACCCACAGAAAGGAAACCATTAGCAAGGAATGCATTGTTTAGACAAGACTGCTCTTCTAAGGGGGAATGTCTCCAGGCGACTACCTCCAGGAAATTCTAGTTTGGGTGTTGAACATGGAATTAGGCTAGGTAGTAAACCTTGGTTTGTGGGCCCCTAACTTTAAGTGACCTGGTTATGGTCCTGCAATTTGATTTCTTTTCTTAGCAGTGGCTGAATTCAGTCTCCTCTCTCCTCTCCTCCCTGGAAGTTGGGGGAAGGAAGGGAAAGAGGAGGCTACAAGTTCCAGCTTCCTAACCTTGGCTTGGTCTTTGTGGCCACCAGCCCCCGCTGTGCAGCCCTGCAGGCTCCGCACTCCAGCTATCTCCTTGGCACACAAAAGACATGCCTGACAATCAAAAACTCTAGAAGCTGAGAGATCTCTGAAGTAAAAGGGTTTATGGAACCTTTAGATACTAGCCAGAAAAAGGGCTGAGTCCCAAGACAGGAAGTTACTGCTTCACCGGCAGCGAGGTCCGTTAACAGTGACATCTAGTCTGCCAGACTCAAGAAACAGGGCACACTTATAAGGGTCTCTAGGAAAGAAAGTTCTTTAAATTCATATCAGATAAGGAAAGTGGGCTAACAGGTAGTGGGGAAAATCTAGGGATAGGTGGTCAGTCTACAGAAAAGGCTTGTGGACTGGTTGTTGAGGATGGTCAGTCACTGTTCATGTGTGGGAGAGATGGAGTGGTTTTGGAGACCTTCTGGATAATTGTTGGAATGACTTCATCCAGGAATATGGAGGTTTGAGTCAGCTATGGCCCATGGCTATTGACTGACTACCTTCTTTTGTCTCTTTCCTCCATTTTACAGCCCTTATACCACTTAATTTTAGGAAATATCTCCGAATTTTTCCCTATCCCATCTGTCACTCAGGAAACCCCAAGGGCTTTAGGAGCTCCTTCCAGGAAATAGGAACAAAGACTAAATGTAGTTTTTACTAAACAGACTTTAAGCACAGTACATTTTGTGGACGTTTTAAGAGATAAGCATGAATGCATTATCACATAGTTTTCCTGGATACACATAAACACTACTAAACACAATGAAGATGAACTGTGGGATGTACATTAAATTAAAAATACTGTGGTATACTGTCATGGGGGGAGTAATGGAATAGGAGGAAGGACATTTTTAAGGTGGGCTTTAGTGCCAAAAAAGACAAGATAATTAAAAAATGGGCAATCCTGTCATTTTCTTAGGAGAGAAACTATCTATTCTGGGATTGGGGGGAGCTCAGCCTTCCCTGCAGCCCTTTACAAACACCTTCTCCCCATGGGAATTTCAAAGAGTGGTGAGCAGCTCATCCTTTGTTCCACCTACTCAGCTCCTGAGACCTACAGAAGAACCAAGACCTGCAGAACCACATACCCACAGACCATTCAGACATTTGCATGCACACTGCACAGTCCCCTGAGCTCCACACTGCAGACTGGTCCTCCTCCAGGCAGTCCTCCATGAAGGGTATTGAGATGACCCAAAGGGGCCTTTCCTGCACATGGTCCTGATCAGATATATGTACACACATATCACACACCTTCACCCCAAGCAAACTCTTTACAGCTCCTTCTTCAGTTTACTTGTCACATCTTGTTAACCTGACATTCACCTTCTGATTTCTCAGTGTCATGACAGAGTTCTTTGTCCCCAAGCTGCTCTCCCAAAGCTCCCACTGAAGCCTGCAGTCTATGTTGAGGTGAGGAGCTGGTACCACATTCTACCCCCAAAACCCAATCTCCCCCACATACATCCACTTCCCTGGTTATTAGCTTGTCCCACATCATCTGCTAATTCCCACATTTCTTATCTCCACCCAGGCCTTTCCCCTGAATCCAGACTCACACACCCTAACATTTATGCCACGTCTCCCTTTGTATTTCTAGGTTGGTCTTGAGGAACTGATCATGGCCAAACCTATCCAGAGCCCCTTCCCCCTACCCCCATAGTCTCCTCCCTTCTAGTTAATGGCAGTGTCACCCTCCATTTGCATGTGGGGTCATCCACACACTCTTCATCATTTCATGCTGCATATCCGTAGTCTTGTGGCTTGACCTTCCAAGTCTATGGAGAGAATCCGTTCTCCTCTCCCACTCCCATCACTAGGGCCCTGATCCAAACCACCATCGTCTCTTCCTGGGAGACTTGCAGATAGCTTCCTAGAGTCTAGTGCAGGTGGAGAAGTTCTCTGAACTCCCTGTATTTGCAAAAAGACAGATCCTTCAAAAGTCACTCAGTTGTCATAAATCCCCTCCCTAGGATTTCATCAACATGGGAAAAGTGAATCATCACAGGAGCAGAGAATAGAAGTCCACACACACACACACACACAAAGGCCTTCAGTAGCTATCCTGTCTCCCATCTTCTTTTCCAAGGGTGCATTCATCTTTCTGAAGAACCGTTTACATCCCACCAAGAGGCCTGCATCCCCCGCCCCTTCACCTATTAAAATGACAGATGGGCTCCCAAATCTCACAGCTCTTTGGGAGCTCACATTTTTCCTGTGATGCTTGATGCATGTCCCTTAAAAACTAATAAGTTTGTGGGCCTTTCTCCTGCTAATCTGCTCATTGTCAGACTCTTTCATGGACCCAGGTATGGAACCTGGTGGGACTGGTAGAGGAGAGTGACTCCTCCCCGCAGGGCCTCTGCCCTGGCCCACCCTCAGGCAGTCTCACCACAAACAGCAGCCAGTGACCCGCCTACAGGACTCTGCTCTGGGACCACCTGCCAGGGGCTCCCACCTCCCTGCAGAGCAGCCACGCTGCTCCTCAGGGGCCCCTGTGCCCTGCCAGCACTCCTGCACGTCCTCCTTCCCCTCTCGCTTTGTTTTGTTCCTGTCACCTCCCTGCTGCGCCCCCAGCAGACCAGACCTGTTCCCACTTCTGTTTCCCTGCTTTTGAGGCTCCAAGCAGCCCCAGGGCTCACTCTCTGCCATCTTTCAGGTCTCACCCCCCTCAGGGGGCTTCCCTGACCCCCCTACCCAGTCCTGCAGCCCCCTCTGCCTGGCCCTCCCCACCACCAGCACTTTGATACAAACTCCCCCTCCCCTAAAATATGGCTTTCCCTTTCTTTTTTTGCTCCTTTGTCTGTCTCCCTTCTGGTCTGCCACCAGACCACCAGGGCAGGCAGTTGGCCTCTTGCATCCCCTCTTTTTTCTGCTGTGACCAGAAAAGTGCATAAGGACATGATCAATAAATACTTGTGAAATGGATAAACGGAGAGGGAGCTGTCTGAGTGGCAGCAAAGAGCAGATGCACACAAACATCAACTGTTCAAGACTCCCCAGGTACAGGAAGCACCAGCCGAGATTCTGAGGAGCATAAGCTGAGCCGTTGCTTTCTCAGAGAGGGTCCTTGGCTCTTCCTGTCGCCCCAAATGGAGAGATTCACTTGCTGCAGGGAGCTGTTTACCCTGTGTGGACTGACTCGCCCCAGACACTTTGTTGTACCCTGGCTCCATCCCCAGGGGTCCCGTTCACCATGTTCCTGAATGGTGCACCCAGCACCGCAGCTCAAGTGCCTCAGTGGGCTGGTCTCTCTGCCACCTTCCCTGGAGGATGGCCAGCTGTGTGTTCAGCCAGTGACCACCACACAGGAGGAGAAGCACATCATAGAAGCCCAAGGGACCACTGGCCACAGGAAAGATTTCCGAATGCAGGGCAGGGATGATGAGGGATGAAGACATCTAAATTCCATGTCCTAAACAAATTTCAACCACATTAATTCCTGTGCTATTCAGATTCTACCTCATCATAGATTGTGTGTGCCTTTTGTTAAAATTTGTTTTTTTTCCCAGCATTATTAGTGTGGGAAAACTTGGGCAGAGCTCCTTGCAGCATCTCCAGACCTTGTCTTTTACCCAGTGAGAGTGTACCCACTGATGTGAGCAGAGGGGGAAATTGGTGGGAATGTGGGAGATTCATATTATTAAAATGTGAGATGTGTTTATGGACACATACTTCTCATTTCCTCTTAATAGATTTGCAAGGACATGACCCAACAATTTCCACCTTCAGATGAAGGATCTGGGTGAAGAATCTCGGTGGTTGAGATATGTGCCTTGGAACCTTGCTAGGTGGCCTCCCAGGCATCACTAGGGGCCTGCTCCCCTGGCCACAGGCCAGTTCTTGGCCCTCCTTCACTCTCTGAGCCCCCTGAGAGGGAGGCCTGGCCACCCTAGTGAACCACAGCTGTCCACCAGCCGGCCCTGCCCCTCAGCCGTCCCAGCACAAAGCTAGCCTCCCATCACTGCAGGTGTTAAAGTGTGCTCACTCACCAGCTCAGGAGAGAAAAGAAATTTCTGGTGTCACAGGTCAGATCCAAATGTTTCCAGTAAAAGACCAGAAAATGCTGAATCTCGTGAAGTGCTCTCTGAAGACCTGGCACAGGAACACTCCTCTCCTGGGAAACGCAGACGCTGGATACTCCCGCTGTGGCTGCAGTAAGCAAGGGGCAGACCGGCCTCTGTCCTCCTCAGCTGTGCTACCTAGGGTGTGAGCAGCAGGAAGGAGCACAGCCTCTGACTGAGCTCCACCCTCAGGAAGACAGGCCCAGAGCTGAGGGCCCACATTTATTGGAAACGAAAATGAAAGCGGTACAATCATGTTTATACTTTTCTCCAGAGCACGAGCATTTCTAGGAAAAGGGTCATGACTTCTGGTGCTCGCAGAGTGCAGAGAGGACTGACAGGCACTGAGGGCCGGAGGAGGCAGGTCTCCAGGGGTCCTGGGAGGCACCTAGCCATGCACCCAGGGGAGCACTGGGAACAGGGAGGGAGAATGTAATCAAGTTTCCAAAGCCTCCTCTGAATGAGAAGCGTTTCCTGTCGGAAAGGGAGGAATGACAACTTTCCTTGCCTTCCTGTCTTTCCTCTACAGGAGTGCTGCAGGGCACCCCCACAGTGCCAACACTTGGACATGGAAGACCCCTCCCTAGAGGTCACAGGAGCATATCTGAAAAGTGAGTCACACTACTAAGAGGGGCTTTGGGGAAACAGGGCAAGACAGCAAGGAGGCACATGCAGACGGAAGAAGGAAGTTTATGGGGGAAATACCGAAGTTGCTTTCAAAAAGAAAATGGGAGGGTTTGCTTTACAGATAAGATTTGGTTCATGCTATACAGTATTTAGATGGTGCAGGCACATGAATAGATCAACCAACTCACAGCACAGAGTGCAGAGCCCTCACGGGACTCAGCCATGGGTGCAGCTGTTGGATGAGAGAAGTGCCTGGTATAGTTTGGGTAAAGGAGAAACACCAAGAAACCCAAATAACTCAAGTAAAAAATTGGCAGAAGACCTGAACAGACATTTTTCCAAAGAAGACATACAGATGGCAAATAGGCCCATGAAGAGATGCTCCACATCACTAATCATCAGGGAAATGAAAATCAAACCACAAGGAGACATCCCCTCACACCAGTCAGAATGGCCACTATCCAAAAGACAATAAATAACAAGTGTTGGTGAGGATATGGAGAAATGGGAACCCTTCTACACTGTTGATGGCAATGTAAATTGGTGCATTCCTGTGGAAAGCAGTAAGGAGGTTCCTCAAAAATCTAAAAGTAGAAATGCCTTATAACCCTGGTAAATTCCACTTCTAGGAAATACCCAAAGAAAACAAAATTCCTGATTTGAGAAGATATATGCACCCCTATGTTTATTGCTGCATTATTTATAATAGCCAAGATATGGAAGTAACGAAGATGTCCATTGATTGATGAATGGATAAAGAAGAGGTGGTACATACACACAGTGGAATATTTATTCAGCCATAATAAATGCTGCCATTTGCAACCAACATGGATATACGTAGAGGGTATTATGCTCAGTGAAATAAGCCATGTGGAAAAAAAATACCATATGACATCACTTGTGGAATATAGAAGCCAAACAAAACAAAATGAACAGGAGGAGAGTCATACACACTGAGAAGTGACTGGTGGTTACCAAGGAGGAGGTGTCAGGGTGGGTGGGTGAAATAGGTGAAGGGGAAAAAGAGGCACAAAATCTCAGTCATGATATAAATTAGTCACAGGAATGAAAGAACAGCATGGGTAATATAGTCAATAGTTCTGTAACATCTTTCTATGTTGACAGATAGTAACTGCACCAATTAGGGTTAAGATTTAATAATGTATATAACTGTTGAATCTCTATGTTGTATACTTGAAACCAATATAATACTGCTTATCAACTATACTTCAGTAAAAAGTTTATCAACAAAAAATTAAAAAAATAAAAACTATGATAATATAATAATGTGTTAGCTTTCTTGTTTTATAACTTTGCTATCAAAGAATTAATTTACTTCATCTTTTAATTAGAGTATACCTTTCTCCTAATTGAACAAGCTGTGTATCAGCCTCATAGGTGAGCAGTTTTTAAAAAATGTAACAATGACTCTAATACTGTATAATGAATGTGACTGTAATACTCTATACAATGAAAAATTTGTAATGATTTAGTCAATAGTGTATAGACTACACCACAGGGAATCAATCATATTGATTATACTAGGTTACCATAAAGCAATCATATTGTTTCTGCTTTTAATTATATATGAATGAATATCTGCAAATAAATATGAGTTTATTCTTCACATTATCTTTCCATTTCAGATGTCTAGTGTTAGTCATATGTTTGACAACTACAGTGTTTTGTATCATGTAAGAGAATATTAATGTAGATACTGACAGAAGACTCATGTTGAAAACAGATGACATAAGCTTACATTATATATAAATTCATATATATATGTACTGTAAATATATTTCCTCTCCCTTATAATTTTCTTCATTTATACTTTTTTCTCTAACTTACATTATCATAAGAACACAGCATAAAATATATATAACATACAAAATATGTTAATTGGCTCTTTACATTAAGGCTAAGGCTTCTGGTCAACAGTAGGTAGTTAGTAGCTACATTTTGGAAAATGAAAATTATACATTGACTTTTTGACTGCATATGGTGTCAGCTCCTCATCCCCCTTCATTGTGCAAGCATATTTTCTGTTTTAAACTTCTTGAAATCTCTAAGAAAAAGTGAAGCAATCCAGTATCGAAGTGGGCAAGTGACATGAACACGCCTTTTTTAAGAAAAAGAAACATGTATGGCCTAAAAGCATACAGGGGGTTTAGCAGCTTCATTAATAATGAGGAAAGTGCTCTTCTGTGCACCATGAGATGAGATTGTCCATAATTTCAATTGGAAAGATTAAAAAGTTGGACAATACTGGGTATTGGTCAGACTGTAGACACGGGTAGTGTCTGCAAAGCAGGGCTGCTGGGAAGGTAAATGAACACAATCACTTTGAAAAACAATGCAGCTTAATCTTGGTATATTGTATGTGCAAACACCTTAGAAGCCAGCAATCCACTCCTCATAGTCACTCTACATAAATGTACAGGAGACCCGTGGAAGTGTGCTCCTGGCAGCATTCTTCCTGGTGTGGGGAGGAGGGCATAGCCACCGACGGAGAGGGATTAACACAGCGAGCTGCGCGGCATTGAAAGGGAAGAACCAGAGCTCTAAGAAAGGACTGAATATTTTAGCAGAGCATTGAATTTAAAAATTGAGAATGATTAGAACACTTTAAATAAAGCTTCAAGAAAACGTAATCAATATAATGTTAAACATGCATCTGTAAGTGATGCATCAAATAAAGGAAAGGCATTGTAAACATGGTAAACAAATACTTCATGAGATTGTCTCCTAAGGGCTGGTGACAGAGGATGGAGTCAATAGGACACACAAGCAGGTGCGAGCTTTTGGAGATGTTCTATTTCTTGGGATAGTTTTTCAGTGTGCAGGTGATCATAATAATATGCAAATAACTAAAGTATTTTAAAAAGAAAAATATCTCTGTTCTTTCCAATCAATTCCATTCTTTTGTCTGCATTCAGACCTGAATCTGTCCCTCCTGCCATGGTTTGGGGACACCAGGCAAATATCTTCTGTCTGACTAGGAGGACAGTCAATGCTGAGAAATCCTTAGGGAGGAGGCTGGGACCAAAGAGCCTGGCGCTCCCGGGAGAATGAACTGCGAGGTGCAAGCTCAGAATGAACCTCACAGTCACACGCAGATGCAGATGAACACACACTGACAGCCTCCCCAGCTCTCAGGAGTAAAATAAGAAATGCCTCTGAGTCTCAGGTAAACTTGTAGTGATGAGGCCCTTGGTGGTGGGTGACAGAGAGCCCCGACCACTACAGGGCTCCACAGGCCCGGGCTGCTCCCTGTTGTGAGGGTCACTCTGGGGCCGGTGCCCCATGTGGGAAGCTTTGGTCTGGAGTGGCTTCAGAACAGGTGGGCAGGTATCTGCTGCCCCTGAACGTATGCCTCACGCTGCACAAAGTCAGACCTCTGCTCCTAAGTCATCAGTATTAGGAAATCAGGGCTATGATTTATGAAGGTATCATCATGCTCTCTCTATCTTTAGAGGAAAGGGAAATTAATTGCTTCTATGCCCAGAGCATGGCACCTATCTATGCACACAGAATAACAGCTTTATTATGAGAAAAACATATATTTGGGTGCACATGTACACATACTAAACATGCACGCATTATGTGGGTTGTCATGCAGGAATCCCATATTTATTTACCTTTTTCAAAACTTTATAGCTTCAGGTTGGAATATAAGTGTTAATTTTATCATGAAGGATGAACATCACAAATGAGAGTTTGGAAGAGACTGGGGAGAGGGATGAAAATAATAAACGGGAGTAGAGCCCAGGAGAGGCCTGGGAGGGCAGGAGACAGAAGGACATGGAGAACATTTGGAACTTCATCCACCTGCTACCCAGCCCCAATGACCACACGCTCAGCAGCCTCACACCCATATTCACACCCATGAGCGAAAACACTGTGGAAGGCCTGGAAGTGATGAGGAGAGAGACGTAAGTGCTCGGTAGGGGCCCCACTGCCCATTTGCACAGAGCTCTGAAGCTGACACAAGGCCCTTGGCTCCTTCTACCTCTGGTCTGGAGCGTCCGCAGCCCTCGTGGTCTAGGGCCTCATGCCCTGCATGCACACCCACACTGCACAGTCAGACCTCCGGTCCTGGGCCCCGGGGGCTCACAGGGGCCTTCCTCAGGACAGGAGTGAGGGTACCCTGGGCACCAGTAAGTGGCAGTGTTCCCTGGACACCAGCACAGCTTCTGTCTCTGCAGGCAAACCCTCCCCTGCGCCTTGGAGGTAGGCAGCTTCTGCAGAGGCGTCTTCTCCCCACACTGGGTGGGATCCCGTGGTGAGGCTGGAAAGAGTACCCCAGAAGCCTAGAAAGGTTTCCAACTGCACTTTGGGCCACACTTTGAAAATTTTCCTAGGTTTCCGTTCTTCTCTTGGACCTAATCTCTCTCCTGGAGACCTGAAATGGTTTGGAAGCAGGCTCAGGAGAGTTAAAAAGGTCCAGGAAAGAGCCCAATTCCCACCACCTCTCATCTCCCATCCTCTCAAGAAACCTCAACTCCTGTGATACGTTCCCAGGGGTTGCGTCTCCCACCGGCACTGGGAGGCCTGGACCTTCAGCCACGAGGCTGACACCAGATCTCTGCGTGAACCGTTGTCAGACCGGACAGGCTTCTGGGTAACCAAGCAGGGACAGAGTGCGGGGAAGGAGGAATGGCATAAAACGGCAGTCCAGAGCCCCTAGGTTGGTGTGGGCACCAGCGGGTTTGAGGCAGTTTGTCTAGGAAACACTCTGCAGGTATGTTAACTACACAAGCAAATGGGAAGTGGAAGTGGGTGTGGTCCTTTCTTTGTCCTGTGAACGTGACAGTGGGCTCTGTTCTGGTGGTGATTGCAAAATGAACCCTCTGATCCACTTAGGGTGCAGCTCTGCAGAGAGGCGCAGTTATACGGAGATAGGTGTGGCCCCTGAAATGCACAGAGACAAAGCAGACACTTCCTGTTGGGTGAGGGAAACAATGGTTCAGGAAACTCCCTTCTCCTGGCCGCACCCAGATAAGCAGCGGTCCACTTGGGCTGGTAAACAGCCTTCACGCACTCATGGGACAGGAGCCTCGCCTGGCCTGGCTCAGTCCCTCCTCCGTCCGAGGCACCTGCAGCAGGGACAGGAAGGCCGCCCCTGCCCTCTGCCTTCCTCCCTCCCTGCGCATTCCCCGGGGGGTTGGAGGGCTGAGGGGAACTGCAAGGGGAGGAAAGGACACCCCGGGGTGGGGGAGCAGAGATCCTGCTGGCCCAGGGCAGTGAGTGTCCCTCACACAGGAGGGACCACGGGCTCATGCTGTGCCCCCCAAGGGATGTCGGGGAAGGGCACCGCCCAGACCTGGGCCTCCTACCTCCTCCTCAGTGTCAGGCACGGGAGGGCAGCGCAGCCTCTCTCCCTGATGCCATCGTCCCCAGGAGGACCATGTGCAGCCCTCTCTGTGGGCAAAGACAAAAACAACTATGTGGTCCTTGCCTTCCCTGGTCCTCAGCCTGTCAGCTACCCTTTCCTGGCCAGGGGAGGAATCAAGGGCGGCATCCCCAGGTTCACAGTGTCTCAGCTGCATGAGGGCCTCATAAGCTGTTACTGATGCTTGACATCCCAGCCTGAACTGTGGCAAACAATCCCTCTCTGTCACCCTGTTACAGTCACGCAGCCCATGCCTGGGTCTCGCTAACTGACCACACACACCCTGGGGAGGGCTTCCTTCTGCCCCACATGAGAATGCGGACAGGACAGTCACTCAGAGGTGAGCAGCTGCCCAGGGTCAGCCGGCCGGTGTTGAGCAGCCTGGGGACTCAGGCCTCCTCCTGCTGGGAGCAGGGGCCCTGACGCTGGGGAGAGGTCACAGCTGGGGGCAGTGAGGGAGCAGTGGAGGATGGTGCACCTGTCCTCCCAGCCAAGGAGAGGGTGACCGGTGGGCCCCAGAGCTGGAAGGGCCCGGCAACCCCAGGCTGAAGTCTATGAGGAGGGTCTGCATCTATCTGAAGGGTGGTCCTCACAGAAGTTCAATGTGGGCCTCACACTAGGCTGGGCACTGACTTCTGATGACACAGCTGGGTCAGGAGGTGGCAGGGCCAGTCTCAGGGCATCCTGACCCTGTTCGGCGCCTCCATCCTGATGGGAACTCAGACACCCTGGGTTGGGGCCGAGAGGCTGTTATAACAACGGTGCACCTCTGCGGAGAGAGAGTAAAGCAAGCTAGTCCCCTCACTGAGAACTGGACAGATTTCCAGGAATAGAAACTGAAACCGACTGCCTCGCCCTGCGTCCCCTCCTCGTGAGCTGCACCACAGCTTGGATCTAAACTAACAGAGCAGAGGGAGCAGCAGGCTCTGGAGGAGGAACCCTGGGAGACAACACTGGCCTCCTGCTCCGCCTCCCTCCTCCGCCATCGGCCCTTCCTGGGACAACTGCCACCCAACACAACTCCTATTCCTCCTGCTGGTGCAAGCTGGGTGTGGTGTGCACTTTTGGTCAGTCCCAGAAGGAACCGACTCTCTTGAGGGCAGGGTCCTTCCCCAGGAGGACATCTATCTGACCTCCTGCACCCTCTGAGTCCTGGAACAGGTAAATGAGAGGCTTCCTAAAATCCAACTCGGCTAATAATCATGCTACTGTATAGATGTGAAAGGTGGAGGCTGACATCAGGCCAGGAGAACCTGGGGTCTCGCTTGTTTATTATACTTTCCTGGAACAAATCAGCACTTTGGTTTTCTCTCAGCCTTTCCATACAATGACCAAATGGGGGACAAAGTTGGGACTTGGACCACATTGGATTCCAGCTCATGAAACTCCCTGGGGCCTGAAATTCCACATCTGGTCCAAGGCGGATCCCTGCTACAGGATTCAGGATGATTGGACGTGGCATCTTCCACAGGGAACACTGCATAGGAAATCCACTGACGAGCGTCCTTTGCTCTGCTTCTTAGGGCATGAGGTCTCCTTGGCACACCCATCACAATAGGATACACTAGACCAACATAAAGGGAAGGCAAATGATGTGATAAAATCTTTTCCCCATATATGCATGTGTGTACATGCGTGTTGAGTGTGTACTTAGTTCTTAGGCGAAATGCATCTCTCACTTCCGGTCCCTTTCAGAAGACTTTGGAGGATGTGTTCCCAGGGCCTGGCTCTCCTCCCAAGCACACCGTCCTCTCTGTCCTCTCTAGTGGAATCTGTCCCCTTGGCTCCCTCCGCAAAGCCTATTGCTTTCTCAGGGGCACTCCAGCTCCATTCAGAAAGGGGGTACCAGGGATACAGCACGAGGAGGGTCGGCAAGCAGGGAGCATGGGGGCGGCCTGCATCCCAGCATGATGGGATGGTCTCTCCTCAGCTGGCAGGTTCGTGCTCTGACCCCCGGCCTCCTTGACACTCACGTACACCACCACCCACACGCCAACCACTCCTGGAGATCTCCGTGATCTCACACGGTGTGTCCAACATCCCACCTTGGCCTGGTGGTGACACATGGGCACAATCCTACCTTGAAGGGCCCTGCAATGAAGGCTTTGTCAGGTTCTTGTACAGAAGTGACCGGCACCAGTGCAGAGCATGCACCAGGTGAGCAGGTAGTTGGGGTCAGGCTGCTGGGTCTGGTCTGTGGGGTCCTCATTCATCCCCTCCCACAGGGCCCAGCGCAGGGGAGTAGACAGGCACAGAGTCCAGGGCTGGGTCAGATGTGGTCATTGAGATGGTTGGGAAGGTGCAGGGTATTGTGGACCCTCCCACACTCACTCTGGGGCTTCTATGCCTGCCTCAGTCCCTGTTCGCCTTCCAGAAGTGTGTGGATAAGCTGGCTTCAGCCCTCCGGGTGACAGATTTAGGAAGGAAAGTTAATCTGTCGGTCAAATAGGAAGTTAAAAATATACAGTGATATATTGTGCTTCATTCATCAAACAAAAATGTATCTCAAACCTGCCAGGCCCAAGTCACTACGCAGAGTGTAGTGAAATTATTTATTGTGAAGACCAAGTTTAGCTTATGAATTTTTTCACTGAGGTATTGTCTGCTTATGAATTTTTATTAAATCAGGCATCCAACATGGGATGAAGCTATACCTCCTGATGTTTATGAGGAGACAGGGTGTTTTAAGCTGATCTATCAGAGAAGAAGTCAAAATGATATGAGTAGTAGTGGGGGTTATAATGAGATTTAGATAAACCAGGGAAGGATTCCAGGCTGACGCCCATTTTCTGTGCTTCCTGGATGGCCTGGCCTCACAGAATCCCAAAAGTGAATTTTGAGCCCTCCCCAGCTCACACTAGCATTAAACTAAGATGCAAGCATTATACATAGCCTCCTCAAGGGCAGAAGAAACCCCTTCCCACAGCCAAGTCAGTAGGCCTGGAACCCAACTACCAGATGATCGTCCTGGGGCCAAGATGCCAGTGGAGGCACCTGGGAATTCTATGTCCCAATAACAAGAACCTACACCTTTGCTGGAGATGGGTAAGAGAGGTCTTGAAGAAGGCTTTAGGTACGAGAGCAACCAGGGGTCACTTTTACGTTCTCTGATTCTAGAATGTTCCCCAGCCTTGACTTTGCCCAGGGCTCAGACCCTCTGAGCTGGAGCCAGATTTGCTCCTCCAAACATCACCACCACTAGGCCATTCACCTCCTCACTGAGCCCAGGGCACCCTCACTCCCCACAGTGGGCACCACCATGCCGGCTGACCCACAACATCTCGAGTCTGCCGCAGGCTCCCTGGCGGGGACCCTGGAGGCCTCTCCGGCAGGTGGGCTGGTGATAAACGCACCTTCCCGGGATCTTCCCTCCCTTTGAACCCCAGCATCTGCTCCTTATTTGATTAGGCATCTCTGTCTCCCAATGGGAGTCAAATCCCTGCAAGAGGTTCTGAGAAGTGGGGACACTTGGTGGGGATTTTCCTCAGAATTTCAAATCAGTGAGTTTTCTGCAATGTGGCTTGAGGATGGAGGTGAGAGGAGAATGTAGTTTCCATTCTCCCCCCATATTAGAAAGAATGCATCTGGGGAGGAGTATGGCCGTTGCCAGCCATGAGTGGACCATGTCCCCAGTGTAAGAGCCCCAGCAGTCACGTTCCTCCGGCCCTGGGGCTGCAGAGGCTGCATCAACAGGATCTCTCTCCTGTCCCGTGCAGCTGGAAACACAGACACCATGGGGGTCCCAGTCTTAGGTGCCCCACTCATCGCTGTGTACTTTGAGGCTTGTTTCTAAACTGTAACGTTAATGTTGACATGAATGTTTCTCCATGTGTTTTCCTGCGCATCCAGTCAGGGTGGCTGAGGGATGATTTACTGTCACATTGCTTATCTCATAGAGTTTGGACATTAATCAAAATATGTCATGCAAAGTATCTTCCCAGACAGACCCACAGACACAGGACCTTCATGCACTGTGGCCGGAGGTGGAGGACAGAGGAAACAGAGCAAACAGTTCCTCCAAGGCCCTAACAAGACCACAAAGCATCGGCCGAGACGTTGCCAGGAGCCCGGTGGAGGGGCTCCGAATCCGGATCTCTCCAGCAACACCGCATGGTACCTTCACGTGTGGCCGGGAGGTGGGTGGCCTGACTCCCCCTGCGCAGTGTAGAGCACTGGGGCTCAGGAACCTGTCCACACTGCTGGGGCCAAGCTTGACTGCAAACTCAGGTGGGGCTATCTGACAGTTTCCTCTAGAGATTGGGGTGTCTAGGCCTTCCTGCAGATAAAAGCAGCCAGAGAAGTCTGGCAGGCAGTGAGGTGGGGGGTCCCCTCACTGGAGAGGCAAGTGGGAGATGCCCAGGGAAGGGGCAAAGGAAGAAGCTCCACCATGGGGCCTCCATGTAGGCAAGAAATTAGTACCACACATGGAACTGTAGGTCTTCTGAGGCAGAAATGGGAAGGGGAGTCTGAGTGATGGTCCCCAGCATCACGAGGGGAGCCCACGGGCGGGTCTGCCAGGGAGGCCGTCATGGGACAAATTGCCCTCAAGGGGCTCACATGGCAACTGCTCAGACGAAAAGACATTCTTAGGTAAAATAAATCCGCATTCATGCACAAAGAAGAGAGGCGATTTTTAAGGGAAATTGCCACAGCAGGAGCTCATCCTTATGGGACTGTGAAAGCCCACCAGCTAGAAGCATGTGTAGAGTCTGCGGGGGAGTCCCAGGCAATTCCTTTCACCACTCTGCCCTACAAGGTGCTTTCAACCTCACTCCCGGGCTCAGCCTACAAGAGAAACCTGTGTTCACAGAAGACCTTAAACCCTTACGTTAATAATAGCAATGACAATGATGAATCATGTACAGACGTGTGCTCCCTGTCACGTCAGTGGGAGATTGTTTGGAAAGTCACTTGTGACTTAGATGGTGAAGATGGAACAGGTGGATGATGTGTAGGTCCTGGGAGAAAGGGTGTGGAGAGCTGGCCCGAGCCCACCCTGGCCAGCAGGCACCTCCTGTGGCCGTCCTGCTCACCCAGTCAGGGTGGATGAGGGACCTGTACCCGCCTGACTCCCGGCTCAGGGACCCGAATGATGCTCTGTGGCTCAAGTCCATGGGTATCCACAGTCCTGCTTTGTGACTGAATGCCGGCCCCACAGCTGCAGAGCATTCCTGAAGGCTCTCCTCTCACCCCCAACTGCACACATGTTCTGAATGAAGGAAAGGTTTGCTCACTCTGTCTGTAATCAAAATATCAAGCTTGTAAACAAAAAGCTTAAGAGTAAGTGTGAGCCTGGGCTGAGCATACTAAATCTAATGGTGCCTCTGCCACCTGCACACCTGGCCCTCACTCCTGTGCTCTTCCTCCTTGTGCAGGCTACTCCACTGCTGAGAGACGTGACACCGCCTGCCCTGTCCCCTTCCACGCCCTTACCTGCAGCCTATGACTCTGCTGGGCAGCACAGCACGGGCTGCAGCGTGTCACCTGAGTTGGGAGACAGGAGCATGGAGAAGGCCTTGGAGGAAGGGAAGTTGCTGCAGGGGGGTCTCTGTGTCAGGGAGACCCTGGAGACAGTGTGCAGTGCTCAGCTGAGCATTGCAGTGACAGAGGACTCCGGCAATGGCGTGTCCTCCTTCGTCAATGTGCTGAGGGGCCTCGGGCACGAGGAGGAGACCTCAGCTCCCACTGGGGTGGTGAGGACCACCCAGAGTCCCACCAGCTACTCATCCTCCTGTCTTCCCACTGTGATGCCGTGGGACCTGCCCGGCATGGGGGCTGCTGCGCAAAGCCTGGAGAACCATCTTGGGGAGATGCCGTTCAGCCAATATGACCTCTTTATCATCACGGCATCCGAGCAGTTCAGCATGAATCACGTGAGGCTCGCCAAAACCATCCAGGGCCTGGGAAAGAGGTTCTCCATCGTGTGGACCAAGCTGGATAGGGACCTGAGCACGAGTGTCCTCTCAGAGGACCAGCTCCTGCAAAACATCCGGGGGAATATCTGGGAAAATCTCCAGAAGAGGGGGATATGTGAACCCCCCACATTCCTGGTGTCCAACCATGACCCTTTATTGCATGACTTCCCATGGCTTAGGGACACATTGTACAGGGACCTGTCTGACATCAGATGCTGCAGTCCACTACAGACCCTATCCCAAATTTGTCACAAGATCGTTAATG